GTTTTCGACCACTGGCAGCAGCGTAAGGTCTCGAGAACTGTAGCCAATATACATTTAAAGAAGACACTGCTGTTTTTCCTGAATTTTAAGATTTATATTTTATTCAGAATTGAAAATTTTAATGAAAAGCACAAATGAAATTTTTTATAAACGTATATCCTTTATATAAATGTATTCAATATATTATCGATTTTTTTTTGGGCATTTACTTAAAACTAACCGAAGTATTAAATAAATTGAGTGATTATAAATATAATTAAAGGTTTCTCTTGGAAGTCCTTTTACGGAGCACTTTTTAGGAACGGCTATTCCAGAGCTCTGTCGACTATTAAACTATTCAATTCGGGGTGCGGGGTAAACATTTAGATGCCGGGAAAATTCTCATTACATGCAAAAAAATTTGCATACGAATTAAACATTGAAATACAAATTTGTAATCTATTCTCGTTTATCAGAAATGGAGATCGTACGGTTATTATTTGTTTATGTATTTTATTGTAATCATGATTTCTTCCTGATTTGTTTACCAGGCAACTTCCATGCATGTTTATGTTCTACATGGCGTCGTGTCTGTCTTTGTGTTAAGTAAGAAATATATAGTGAAAGAATTGAAATCTTTGCTAAAGAATATAGAATGTGTCACTTAAGAGAATTGATACTCGAAGAGCTTGGCTTACTCGAAATAGAATGGAAAGAACAGTTGCTAACGCAAGCAAATGTAACGCTTCAACAACCAATCACGATCGAGATATCAACACTAACTTAATTGCAAGTTCGGAGAGTTAGGATTTTTCTTTTAACCTTTAATGATTTTTGAAGCTTACATTTTTGTCTGATCAATAATCCATAATTTATTAAATATTTCAGTTATTTTGTGAAATTATTTGAGCAAAATGCCAATGTAAAAAGAGAGAGGAAAATGTGAAATAAAAATATATTGAATAAATTATGAAAAGGATATGCATTGATAAAATTTTTTTATCAGTATTACCCGTCGAAATTTTCAATTCTAAATAAAATAACCAAATTCAAGAATAACGTTTTTAATAGTTGAAAACCATACTTAAACCTATATTTATTTTCAGCACCTACATACACCAAGAACAAATTCAGATGCTACACCAGACCAATGAATTTAACTGAAATAAAACCGAATTTTATGACTATTAATTGATAATTGGATCCTTTTATCATTGCTTCAACAATAAGCAATATGTGAGAAAGTTTTTATTACACCAGCCAAAACATTTCGTAGCTAGTAATCATATTTATAAATAACATACTTTTGATATAAAGCCTTGTCACTTATGGGCTATTGATATTATTAATTTATCACCCACTTTTTTTTATTTTAAATTGGGAAAAATAACACTTTTTTTTTTCTTCTTCTACCAAACAAGACTATTAACAGTGAATTCATGTGATAAATGTTAATATATTTTGAAAAAAACTATTAATATTTTTAAAAAGTAAATAATGGAAAAAATCATTGAATAATAAAAGACATTTTTGGGTTACATTTCACAACTTTTTGAGTAACATTGTTAACTTTTAATTAATTGTAATTGGTATTATAGTGATAATTTAAATTTTGCCCTTGTTATTATTTTTTATTTCCATTTGCTTGAGGGCAAGAAAAATATACTTTATAAATTCTTCTTAAAGTGATAATCTAGTGTTTTTTTTTTTTTTTTTTGTAGTAGAGTTTTTAATTTTTAAATAGTTCTTATTCTCTTGTAATAGTGTTTTATTCTTTGACAGAGTATTTTATTTTTAAATATAAATTTACATTCACCAGCAGTTTTTATGGACCACTGCATCAACTTCATGAAACTCGAAAAATATTTTCCTCTATTCAGTCTGGCTTTATTAACATTGAAATAAACAAATAAATTGTAACCTTAAAATGACAAATATCTTTAAAATAACTGGATAAAAAGGCAAGAAAAACTGAGAGAGAACTGGGGGTTTATTCATGACTCTCTCAGCACTAAGAGAGGAAGGAAAGAGATCAATAAATAAATACTTAACAATAAGAATTAAAAAACAATATAGGGATAATTCATGATTATAGATTTATTGAGCTTTCAACAAGTATTGCACTCCATTTTTTAAAACTGGTTTTTGCAGATAATTCACTCTGTTCAAAATTTCTATTATAAAATTTACAGTAACAAAATTTACAATAAGTACATAAATGTAAGTATGAATAAAATTGTAAATTTAAAATAAAATCAACAAATATTTTTCATCAAAGCAATATAACAACACCACTAGTATAAAACCTAAATTTACAACTTTTTAAAGTACAAAAATGAACTTGGCAATGTACCTAATAAACTAAATTAATTTTAATCTACTTTTTAAACACTTAAACAATATACATTTTTTTTTACATCTGATAATAAATAGACATATAATGTACACATCCTCAATCTAAGACTATATTTAGTTCCATAAATGTTGAATCAGTACATTGTAACAACCATGCATCTAAACTCACAGTTTTTTTTTTCTTTTAAAAAATAAACTCTGAAAAAGTTAAAAACGGGATGTTCTCTAAAAAGAAGCATCAATGGTGAGCACTAAAAAGTTCAATTGATTACAAACTCAAGTATGGAAAAGATTTGGTGTGCACCATTGAAGATTAATTTTAGATTACACCATTTTATAATTGCTGTTGGAAGAATGAATGTGTGTAGACCGTAAAGATTTCTGTGCTCCTTTTTAATTATTCATCATCAAAAAATAGAAAAATGCCAAAATATATTAAAAACTCCTATTTTGAAAAACCAACTTTAGAAATTAATGATACAAATTACTAAATACTTCGATTCCAAACTTTTGAATGAAAAAAAAAAGGATTGAAAATGGAAATTGTTAAATTTTTGTCTAAGAAAACTCAGTTTGTGGGGCAGCACATTATTTCAATGCATATAAACACTTTATTTTAAAATTTTTAATTCATCAATGTACAAGTGTTACGTAATTTAGAAAATTATACTTATAATACAGAGTTGCGCTGAGCCAATTGACACATTTTAAACTTGAACACAAATATAATAACTTATATTGGTTAGCAGGATGAGAACAGGAAAAGGAAAGAATTCTATAATATATGGAAGGTCACAGTAAAGCACAGATCATTACGGTGCACCAGTTTGCAGTTATTACGAAACTAAGTGTGTACCATAATGCAATGATCTGTTAGACGAAATTTTTATGCAGGTAAACAAGCTAACATTTGTACCTGAATATCATATTGGCTTGGGAGAACCCGGCGTTTGAGAGGCATAATAAGAAACTTAGGAACTTATACAATTATTGATGAACTTATCTCTATTGACAACAACCCAAGGAGGAGGTTCTTCACTAATTTCCAGAAGCTTTTACAAGAATGCCTGAAGACAAGCTATTTTTTCCCCACATTAATTTCAAGAAATAAACTTTAGAATGGTGGTAAGCAATTAACAAGTTTCATTGCATTTACAGACTATACCACTTTCTTTTTCTGTTTTCATTCAATAATATAACCATTTAAAAGATATCCATCAGCTCGGGGGCACCTGTACAGTTTAAGATACTAATAACATAAACAATAAAACAGTTTCAATATAGAGTATGTTAATAAATTAAATATTTATATTCATTAACTGATGGCAACATGCATTCCAAGACTTAGAATTCTAAACCTGGAATGCAATATTAACGCAGCAGCAGTTCTGCAAATAACATAAAACAGTTTCTAATTGCTGTAAACTTCACAAAAATTTGGACCCAATTCTGTTGTGAGGCAATTGTTAACTGTTCCTAACAAAATCTGTTTATTTATTTACTTATTTTTGGCAAAAATAAAAAACACATTATTTGAAACATTTGAACTAAAAAAAATTGTGATCTAATTTTAAATATATATAAAACATTGGTGGTTTCAATTTGAAATGGAAGAACACAATATTTTTTTAAACAAAAAGGTGAAAATAAATAGAGCATCATGCACAAGTAAAAAAATGCCACTCATAACAAAAGTATTCAGATCTATATGTTTGTGACTAGTATATAAAACAGATGCACATCAAACAATGTTCAGGGCAGAACTGTTTTTTTTTCTTTCTTTTTTACAAGAGAGTTACTCAAATGCCTTTTTCTTTCTTTCTTTTTAACACTTTTAGTCTCTTAAATGACATACAATAGAATTCTCATTATTCAGATCAATTATCAAAGCTACAATTTTTAGTAAAAGTCTCATTTTTCAAACAGCCATTAACGTGAAATCAATTTATTCAAATTGTCAGTAATTACGATTGTTGCTATTCAGATTGCCAGTTGCCTGAAGATGGACAATTATCTATTTAGGAAAAAGGAAGTAATCAATAGCGATTTAATTTTTCAGCATATATCTAAGTGTTACATTCACAAAGAGGCCAGCTGGGTTGGTGGTAATATTTTCCCATGTTAATAAAGATTACTTTCCATATTACTTTGCATTATCAGGGTTCGAAATTAATGGTGATCCATTGGTCTGGGACCACTAAAATTTAACTCATACCACCATAAAATAATTATCAGTGTTTTTTATGTTAACATTTTGTCCATGTATTAAAAGGCAAGCCACATAATGCAAAGTAATATGAGCTTCAGTTGTTAATTTATAGGATTACGAAACAAGTTTGTTTATATGAATGTTTGTTTATATGAAGTTTGTTTATATGAACATACAAGTTTGTTTATATGAAGTTCTAATAAATTTGTAAAAAAAAAAGTTGCTAAAAATTAAGGTTGTTACTAAGAAAATGCATAAAATAATAAAGAGCCATGTATTTAAAAGAAAAAAAGTAAAGTAAAAAAAAAAGGGAGTTAAAGCAGTTTTTAGAAAGCTTTTAATAACTCAGTTATTAGATTTAAAATTTAAATTTTAAACTCTGGATTAAGGCTTGAAAACTTAGTACAAGGTTCAAAACTAGCAGAAAATATTAATAAATTGTAAATAACTTATTTTGGTGTAAATATTATTAAGCTAATAATATATAATATTTAGCTAATAAAATTGTTTAGGTGACTCTTAGTTTTCTCCAAATATACTAGATTAAAAAAAAAAAGAAAGAAAAAAAACTTACCTAAAGGGTCGTTTAATTGAATAGCAAGCCTAAATAAAAATTTGGCAATCGAAAACGTTACATATGGTGTTTGATATGAGTATAATAATAAAAACTTTTTTTTTTTTTTTTACTAAAATGCAGCTTTTTTGATATGTTTGTAACTTAAGTACCCTCGAAGTTATGTAAAAAACAGTAATATTCTGATCATATCAATGCCTATTTAAATACATATCTGCCAAATCCAAAACATTAATATTATCTTCGTAAAACGACTTTAGAGCATATATAAATACATGCATGTTCTAACATTTAAAACCTTTTATCATATATATGTAATAAGATATCAACACAAACATTGGTCGCTTTGGAAGGTCAACAGTAGCAGTACTGGCATTTGCATGATAATTTCCGTATCAAGGTTTGCAATCACATAAAAAATCGTCTTTAAAATACCTATTTCAATAAATAAATGTTATCGTCGTCTTCGCCTTCTCCTTGCTTTGCTCGTCATCTCCATCGTCTTTTTCTTATTCTTGTTGAAAATTTTTCGAAGGCGTTCCCTTTCCAGTTTTAGCTCATTCTCTTTTTCCTGATACAGTTGTTCATTCTCTTTGATGAAATTGGTGTTCTTTAGAACAAATGAATCTGGTTTTCCATAATCTGGGGGATTGGCATTGGGATCATAGCCAAGGGTTTGCAACATTGGTGCGATGGTTGCCATGTCTCTTACCACATCTGCAGGAATGTTGCCAACCCATTTGGTGAGTGCTTCAATATTTATGGGCTTGATCACTTGATCTGATGATCGTTCCAGTCTAGAAAAATAGTTATATCACATGCTTTAGTTTAAGTTAATTGGATGTGAAAAATATGAAAGGGCATATGGAAATTTAAATTTCAAATAAAATATTTGCAATTTTCCAGATCTCTGAAACTATTACTTTCAAGATATTCTTCAAACTATAATTTGTAGCTGTATCTGATATTTTATTCAAAATTAATAAATGTATGATTTTTATGTACCTTACAACATCGTCTGAAAGATGATAAAAATACTAGTCGTTGAAATAAAAGATAATTTTTTACATTATAACAATGGTTAAAGTTTTATTCATTACAAATTTTAAAAATTTCAAACAAATTTGCATAACAGAAAGAAAAAAAAACAGAACATTCAAAGGAAAAATTTTTTAGGAACATTTTTAATAACATAAAATACTTTCGAAAGTCACTTCAGAAGGTACATGTACAAAAAATAAATACTCATAAAGCTAAAAATGTGCATAAACAAATAAAATATGCTTATAATATGTTTAAATGTAAAATTTTGGTTTTACCATATAGTATTGTTTTAAGTAGAAAAAGGTTAATTAAATAGCAAAGGACAAAACTTTTATTAAGAAAACTTGTTTACCAAAATTATAATTAAAAAAGACAATATAAAATATATTTAAGCTACAGTAAAGTATTTTTTAAAGAATTAATTAATAAGTATTATAATTTATAATATACAAGTCTTTTTTATGGAAGGAATTTTATAATGTAGGAATCAGATTGTTAATGAAAGTGAATTCTTAAATATAGAAAAAGTTTGTAAATCAATAATCGATGGTATAACAATTGACGATGATAATTTTTTTTAACTAGACCATGGAATAACCAAAGTTCAGGATTAGGTTTAATGCCCTTTTTTTAAATTTTAATTATTTTATTTAAAAACGTTTGCCAGGGTTAAAATTGCCTAATTTCTAAATAACATTTCATTTTTATTTTAATTATGCTAGTGGAAATTTTAAAATCAAATAGGCCATTGAAAAATTTTAATGACTGTAAAATTAAAGTTTATGACCCTCACCACAATCCAACTGTTGGGAAATGACTCCCCAAAAACCTGATGCTTAAGGTTATTTGAAATTATTTTAAGAAAGACAATAGGTGCAAAAGTTGNTGGAAACAGAGAATGCAAATATACTGCAGATCTCATTCATAAGCAAATAAAATATGCTTATAATATGTTTAAAAGTAAAATTTTGGTTTTACCAAATAAGTATTGTTTTAAGTAGAAAAAGGTTAATTAATTAGCAAAAGACAAAACTTCTATTAAGAAAACTTGTTTACTAAAATTATAATTAAAGAAGACAATATAAAATATATTTAAGCTACTGTAAAGTATTTTTTAAGGAATTAATTAATAAGTATTATAATTTATATTATACAAGTTTTTTTTATGGAAGGAATTTTATAATGTACGAATCAGATTGTTAATGAAAGTGAATTCTTAAATATAGAAAAAGTTTGTAAATCAGTAATCGATGGTATAACAATTGACGATGATAATTTTTTTTTAACTAGACCATGGAATAACCAAAGTTCAGGATTAGGTTTAATGCCATTTTTTTAAAATTTTAATTATTTTATTTAAAAACGTTTGCCAGTGTTAAAATTGCCTAATTTCTAAATAACATTTCATTTTTATTTTAATTATGCTAGTGGAAATTTTAAAATCAAATAGGCCATTGAAAAATTTTAATGACTGTAAAATTAAAGTTTATGACCCTCACCACAATCCAACTGTTGGGAAATGACTCCCCAAAAACCTGATGCTTAAGGTTATTTGAAATTATTTTAAGAAAGACAATAGGTGCAAAAGTTGAAAGATGATGAAACTTTATTTGTAGTAGAAGAAGCCTTTTTTGACAAAAGAACAATTTTCAAAATATTTAAAAATTGATAATACTGTATAAAGAGACTATTCGTGACTTATTTCTCTTTACATACAGGATGAGTTTTTCAACATAACTTTATTTAATCAGATTTCAATTCTGATATATTTCTAATTACACATTGTTTACATTTATTTAGATTGTTTTTTAGTAAAATTTCAAGCTATAATTCATTTTTTGACGATGGACAACAAGTGGACCAGAATTACAGGCCGCTTCACCATGCTAAGGGCCGCAGCAAAAGATTAATACACGGAAAATATTTTTTATATTTAAATTTCTTTACTCAATTATGTAACACAATAAACATCAACGTCTGCAAGAGTCTATATGCATAAAACACAATGACCTATACATTGCAATTCGTCATACAAATTTACAATTCAGATCCATCTCAAATTCAATGCATACACATTTTACGGCACAGAAATCAACTGTATAATTTGTAGCAGGATGAAAAAAAAGACCACTGATTAAAAAAATGACGTAATGTGCAACTAAGCTGTAAAATTTATAGCAGGGATAAAATGAGGTATCTAATAATTACAACTTAAATAAGATTACCAAAGGCAAAATCTAACAAGAAATGGAACTTATGTACCATTAACCTTTACCAAGATAACTTGTTGCAGGAATAAAAAAGAACTACTTAATAATACAAATACTTAGTTTTAAAAATTACACACTGTTCAAACATCACTAAATCAAAAAAGGACTTCTCCTTTTCTTCATTACTCCAACAATTTCAAGTTCAGTAGCTAGTTTATTATAAATATTACATAGCCAGATCAAATAAACAAATTTCTTTTTACTACAATCATTAACATGAATGCTCCTGTTAAGGCAGAAAAAAGAATGTTAAATAAAAATTTCTACAGCAATAAATATTAAAAAAAAAAATGATCATACTTGGAAATTTTTATTCCACCCGGTTTATCAACCAACTCCTCATGATGCAAGACTGATTCATTCCAAGGTATGTCAAGGAAGCTTAGAATGCTTTTCATCCATGGTTCGGGTTGTAAGACAACCTGCTCATAATGAACAGGCATACAAATATCTGTACCTAAGCTAACACATTGTGCATACATAGCAGACATGGCAGCGTTCCATTTTGTCAGACACTGGCGATAATCTGTCAGATCAAAACCAGTTATGGTTACCTGCAAACAAATTTGGGATAAAAAAAATTTAATAGTGCAAAATTATATACTTTTGTAAAATAAAGTTATAAATATTTTTAGTAAATTGCAGCTGAGTGCCCCTACATTGAAATCAATAACAGGAATGTTGAATAACATTCAAAATATTCTTCACACATAAAAGTAGTTGTCTCACTATAATGATTTTTTTCCATTTATTGTTTGACTTTTGAAGTAAGTTGAAATTTTGGATTGAGTTGGAACATAAGAAATGCATGGAAAATTATGTCGCTCTCTGCCAACTTTTAGAGGTAAATGAAGAACGGAACTGCTTAACCAGGCTTAGATAGAATGAAATTGCGAACAAATTCTCAATTAAAAACTTTCTGAGAGCATTGATTAACACTTGTAACCAGTTTCGACCCTTTCATCACCATCTCATTGTGGCAAATTTGTTTGAAAAACATGATTTTTTTAAAAAAATGTTTAGTTTATTTACAGAGCTCTATATTGATTCATACCCCAGGGATGAGTTTGGTAAAAAACCAAAACAATTGAAAATAGAAATTCCAAAAATTTTATCTGCAAGAAACCTTTTTAAAAAATTAAAAAAAATATCTGAAATTTGAGCAAGAAAAAAGTGTAGGTAGGAAGCATTTATCTTCAGAATGTTCTAAACGTTTTAATGCAAATATCAAAGCAAGATTTTATAAACTTGTTTAAATTGTGTGAATAGGAATCTTGATGTTTGATTACCTAATCCCGCAAATATGCATATTGACCTTTAAATTTAAAATCTCGTGAATACATATCTTGATTTTTGATTTTATAATAGTGTGAATATGAATCTTGATGTTCCATTATAAAATCGCGTGAATATGAATTTTGATGCATAATTTTTTGTGATTTTAATTTTGTGATTTGTAATTTTAAATTGCAATTGCATTGGCAGGAAAAGGAGCAGAAATTAGCCTTTTTTTTCGAGAATTCAAAAAGACAAACTTTCTTTAAAAAGGCAAATATTCTTTTTTTAGTAATAGAAAAAAAAATACAGCGAAAGACGTTCACGTATATTGAACAGGTGTGTGCTTCGCGTCCAACAGATGAAGAGATTTTTTACATTGTAACGGACAACAAAAAAGTCCAAGAGAGTGACAATGATTCCAAAAATGAAGAGATGATCAAGTCAAATTATAAGATTCGAATACAAAGTTTATTATAAGCCATTGAAAGAGGCTACTGTATTAAGACGCAACACAGCAGTTCCAGAAAAAAACTAAGCTTTTAACAAAAGCGCTTAATTTCAGAAATATGATTTGCATATTAAAATATAAGCTATAGTAAAAATTACAAATTAAAAAATTATTATATTAAATAAAATATAAATTGAAAAGTATTCAATAGTTTCACTTAAAGTTACAAGAAGCTTTTGATTTGTTTCAAAATGTTTTTTTTTTTTAGCTCCATGTCGGAACCAACAATTTCTTACTAAGATAATTAACATTCTCTTAATAAAATTGTAATATGATTAACATTTTTCTCATTCAGAAATTAATATTTTTAATTAAAGTGTTTCATTAATTTCAAATGCAACTAAATATTTAAAAAATTAATCTGTTCACCCTTTTAAAAATTTTAAGATTTTTGAAATGGTGAATTAAAATCTTTAAAAATAAACTGAACAAAAAGATTATTTTAATTTTTGGAATAACTAATCTCACACACAAGATTTGATGTTATCTAGTAAGAATAATAAAAGGAGTATATGACCATAATTTTTCCTTATAAGATTTTCCCACAGAAAAACTAATTTAATCAAGTTTTTTTTTCTTTATAAAATCATTCTAAAAAATCTGAAACACAAGAAGATAGATAGAAGAGATAAGATATTATGTACAACAAGTGGAATTCTCCCAATTCAATACATAAAATTTTAGAATTGTTAATTAAGTCTAATGACAGAAATTTGGCAATGAACAAAAGCAGGATCACACGGATTTGCTGAATAGTGACATGTTTGTATGTTGAAGAAAATGTCTTCAACTCTATTTTTAGCTTACTCTTATAATGTCAAATTTTTTTATGAAAATTTACATGTAAAATAAATCTAGTGCAACATACTATTCTCTAAATTGAAGAATTCATTTCTCTTTTGAGTATTTTGTAAGCGCAAAAAGTGTATTAATAAATTTTATATTTAATTAATAGTCATAGTCTCAACAACAAAATATGCTGCAATTTTTTTCATTGATACATTATATATACATTAAATGAAATTAAATGAGGAAACCAGCAGCATCAAACAATAGTAATATAATAATACACTGATAATTGATTAATAAATAAGTATGTGTATACAAACCTTTCTGCTTATGATGGAATGTACAACAGCTCTCCCATCTCTGATCAGGAGAATAAATTTGGCATTTGGAAACAGAGAATGCAAATATACTGCAGATCTCAGAGTGAAGGGATCTTTATTGCACAATCGAGGAGCGGGCAATCCGTGACGTGCAATTATTTCTAGTGTGAATGAAGCAACAGCATTATCCAGAACCTAGCAAGAATAAACTCCTTAAAATGCCAATTATACAAAATTAAAAAAAAAAAGTCAGCAATACCACAAGCTATTTGTTAAATTATTGCCATTATCGCATTATACAAATAATTTTTTTTTAATTAACTTAAAATTTCATTTATTTATAATTCAGTGATTTACCCATTCACTGATTCTCTACCTCTCTTCTTTCATTCCAATTACTCATTCATTCATTTTTACATTTACTTACATGTTTACATAATTATCACACTTAGTATGGTTTTACTATGCATTATAATTTTCCCATACACTGAAAATGATAGCATTCAGAAAATCAAATAAAAATAAGTTCAATACTTAAACCACATAAAATTTTTCCACTCTAATGTCGCAGTATATATATGTATACAATAAAGAGAAGCATTTTTTTTCCAAAGTAAGACAAAATGGCAATTTGATCAAAATCCTACAGCATCACTCTGCAGTAATAAGCTCAACTGCTAGTTGGATGATGAGTTTATTGTTTTCGTTTAATTCCATAAAATAGTTGGATATTTTCTTTCAAGGATATTGAGCGTTAACAAAGACATTTTGTTTTTGCACCTTAAGTAGCAAATAATATAATTTAAATATTCTAATTACATTCCATTTTATATGTTTGACGCAAGGCCGGATTAACCATTAAGCACACTAAGCACGTGCTTAGGGCACCAGAGGATAGGGGGNTGTTATATTAGAAATTTGCTATCTCATAAGCATAAATAAGGGGTCGACTTATACACCGAGATGCATGGTAATACAAGCAGCAAGGCACAGAAAGAAAAAAAATACAGCATTAATGAATGTTTTATAAACGACTTACATCCCCAGTGATGCCCGCTTCTTGGAGTCTTTTAGACTCTACAGGTGACTTCACCCACTGTTGCTTTAAGCTAAGAAGACGGGGTATGACACGCGTCTCCTCTCCACATCTGATGTCCGGATGGGCATCCAGCATGACCCTTAACAATGTGGTCCCACTTCTGGGCATGCCCCCAATGAAAATGATTGGCAAACTTCGGTTATAGATGTACTTTTTTGAATCTTGACCCATGATGAAACGCTAAAACAAGAATGAACATTGCATTAAATCAAGAATTAGCATAGAATGAGTAAAATTATGATAAGTTGGATAGGAAATGATAACCTTAAATACTCCATATATGTCTTGTAAAGTAAAGCACTACAAATTCTCGGATCAATTTTAATAATCTCGTATTTTATTCAATTACTTATTAGTCTTTTAAATCATCATGTTTTCGATTACATAAGATTATTTTTTACATTACAAGTTCTGACAAAAAAAAAGCATAATAAGAAATAAATGAAGTAGAAGTCCAGGAGCAGACAAAATTTTCATCGAATCTGGCCAAAAAGTATCAAACTACAAAAAATTAAAATAACAATAATAAAAAATAGAACTGCATGAGACACTCAAATAGTACAGAAATATTACAAATGTGTTGATCTATTTTTAAAATAATACTTTCCTTTTCAATTAAATTTAAATATTTTCATTCAATTTTCAAATGACACAGAGTCATTTGAAATGACACAGAGTAATTCGAAGAACTGTCACTTTAATTGCGTATGTTTGAGCAAAACTTCACAAAAGCTGAAGACAGCAAAATTGTTCAAGAAGCACATGTAGTGTAATGACAAATTCAGAAAAACTAAACCAAGATGGCAAAAACAAGTTTTTTTTTAAAAAAAATAATAATAATAATCTGTAACTACAGCAAACGCAAAGGCTATTGGGTTAAGAATTATAGGTAATGGTTTTTAGATGGATGACTAAAGACACAATCAAATATAATATGAGCAGACATAGCACTCATCTGTTTTTGCAAGGAAGTCTGTGCCCCAGAGACCAGAAATTTTTAAGAATGTTCAAAATGTAAACAACACAGATAATAAATATATCTCTTTGGTATACATGTCGTATCTTCTAATTTCCTTTATATTAATAAGATGTTTTTCAAATGTAAAAAAAGAATTAGATACAGAGTTTATGAAATGAAAGAAACATTGTTGAAATTATATTGTTTTATAAATAAACAGTATGTATAATCAGTCTATCTAACGAACCCTGCCAGCTATAGCCTCTGGGTTGTCTGCTGGTATGAAAATAAGAGCAAAGTTTAGAGATTAGTCTTTGATACTTATCTTTCAGACCTCTATCAAAACTTATCCTAAATATTTATTCCATATCCTAATTTGAAATAGCTCCACCTTGTAAGTATAATTACAGACATTGCTCCAGACAACTGGAGGAAGGAATTTTTTAGATAGGCAAACTATAGGGCAGTAATATTTAAATAAAGTTGTAATACCTGTGCTGCAACCATGACACCATGACTTGATGAATCAGAACAAGGAGAATAGAGCAAATAAAGCATTAACAGGAAAAACATAGGAAAACATAGTAGGATGAGATACTTTTTCATTGCCCGAGAAACCATGCCTGAAAATAAAATAAATTTATTTAAAAGAATTAGGAGAAAAAATTTCTTTTTTTTTTATATTAAAGAAAGTTAGCTAGGGGCTGTTCAAACATTATGTAAGCATGTTCTTGGCAAAATCAGTCTCTCCCTTCCTTGTCAGCAAATTATAAGCCCCTCCCCATGTTTATGTTAGAAAGTATCTAAACTCTGGTTTTTGTCCTCTCCTCAGATTTTTGCTTGACTTTTACAGCAGTAAACTAATTTTAGGATTGAATTCAATATATAACTTTGTATAAAATAAAATTTACAGATTAATTTGCTTTATAAATTTTTGAGAAGAATATTCTTCAGTAACCTTTTGTGTTTATTTGCTGTGGTCAAAAGTATTGACCATTGAGTAATTTCTATTTTAAATTTGAAAATTGTACACAATTTTTTTTTTTTATCTTAAGAAAATTTTAATTATCTTAAATAAGAACTGCTCATAACACTTCTCAAAGTTTAACAGCAAAAATTCGAAAATAATAACTTCCCCCCCTCGTTAGGTGCCTACGTAATATTTGAACAGCTCCCTATATACTAGCATAGCTGCCAATTTTCACGCATTTTGCGTAAAATTTTATTTTTACACTTAAAGCAGTGGGAAAATATATTTCTTGCATTTATAATTACAATAAATATAATTTAGAATGAATTAGTTCACCACTAGTAACACATTCTCACATTAGCCCGATGAGGACAAGAGGGGGGTCATGGAGGTTAAGGTTCCACAATTTGGTGACTAACGGCAGGATTTAGGCAATGTGGCCAGCACTGCGCAAAGGCCGCCTTTACTTCACAGACAAGCTGGTACCTATAAACCTGAAGCTGGATGAGCTTCAGCCGTTACTGGGAATCGAACTCCAGTTCCTCACATTGACAGCTCAGTGCCTTAATCACTAAACTATCCACCGCTGCATATAAATAAATTAAATGTATAAATTAAAGCATGATAATCATACTATTGTGCAGTTAAGCTCTAACAAACTAAAAAATATATTTCTGCACATGACTGATTGATTGAACGTAGGGTTTAGCGGCACAAGGTCCAAATGAGGACATGCTGCGCCATTCTGCACGTGACTGTAATAAATTTTTAATTTTACTGCCACTTGGGAAAATCCTCCTGAAAAAGATGGGAGGTATGTACTAAATCATTATAAGAATGAATTTTCAAATGCAATTTAATTTTAAAAATGTCGGAGGGCAAGAATCAATCAGTCGAGTTAAGAGGTTACGTTTGAACATACGCATTAAATATTACATTCTAAGACATAAACGTCGGCTTTCAATGGGAATCCCCTTTCAAGTAAAAAAGATTTGTTTAGAATGCTAACGACGAAACTATAAATTTTTAATTTTAGCGATGAGTTAAGAAAGCGCAAAGATTTTAGCCCCTAAACTTAACTTTTCTCTTCAATCTTTTACAAATTATTTGTTATCTCGGGGTTTTAAGTTAGAGGGTTATTAGCATAGACAGTCAAAAAATTACAAAAACTAGTAAAAACTGAAAGAAAATTAAAAACTAGCAGCTTTTGATATGACCTGTCAAGAGCAGATAATTTTAAATTGCGTAGGTTTTTTAAAAAATCAAAAATAAATTAAGGAGAAAGCAACACTTTTGATTTTCTTGAGCTTGAGTGCCAATGTCATACTAGATCTCGAAATTTTGATGTTTATTATTTGGCCGTAATTTAGCGATTTTAAAAAACACTTTTCTTAAATAGTAATAAATACTAAAAAAATAATGTTCGTGTCGATTTATTTTTATCACACTTTCGGGGTCAAAGCCCTGAAAATGTATTTTCAAATATAATTGTATTTTTCAAGGTTTTAAAAAAAATCTCTTTTTCTTTGGAAAAAATTCAGCTTACTTCGTTTTTCTTTAAACAAAAAAAAAGGGGGGTTTCCAGATTTTTGTAGTAAGTAGTTTAGTAGATGTAAACAAAGTTAGGTATTTTACTTGAGAATCAGTTAATCCAGCACCTCCTAGAGGAAAGAAAGTTGCGGCACGGATCAATTTAGTAGTCCGACGTAACAAACATAAACTGCGCAGTAAGGGATATACGAAAGATGTCACTACGTTCGGACTACTAGAAGATCGGATTTCTCATTTATGGTAGCCTGCGCGGAGATATATATATCGAAAGTACAGTTCCAAGGTCATTCGAATTAACAATCGAATATTCACTTTCTAGGACTCAATCTTCATCATTAGAAGGGGTCAAACATACTAACTAATTGGTGCAGACGATATTTTATGTTACTGAATGCGACACAAAAACGTACTTTCTCTGAATAAACATACCTTTTTTTAACGAATTTGGATTTTTTACCACTAAAATATAAATGGTAGCCGCATTCTGGGAAATATAAATAAGTCCCAATAGTTTGGTCAGGACAGCGATCCACAGTTTGGACCGTTGATGTTAATTTCACTTTACGCGTATTTCGTCATCTCTGGAGAATTTTTTTAGGGAGTTGAAAATTTCTTGCAGATAATTACAAAATTCGCTTATCCAAAGATAATTTCATGGAAAAAATAACTTTCAGTAAATAACAAGTATTTTTTATTACTATATTTAATAATAGTCGGAAAAATTTCGACTTGTAAGGTTTAAAATTTTTTATATCATTTAAAAAAATTTAATTTTAATTGGAAAAATACAAAATGTGAGCAAAATCGGTCGAATAGTTATTGAAAAATCAATTTTTAAGAATAAGATTTCTTCAAAATTCGATTCCTTAATGTTAGTTAAGGGGTCCAAACTTTGGGCCGCTCGCCTGACCAAACTATTGGGACCATATTTACCAGATTGCGGATCCTCCTTATAATTTAGTGGTAAAAAATCCAAATTCGTCAAAAAAAAAAGGTATGTTTATTCAGAGATAGTACGTTTTTGTGTCTAATTTCATAACTTAAAATATCGTATGAACTGCTTAATTAGAATATTCGAAGTCCCCCGTTCGAACCATTAAGATTCGGACCCAGAATGTGAAAATCCAATCATTAGATCAAAAGTTATTCAGGAAGGGACGTTTATTTTTTTTAGCACTGTACAACACGTAAAAAAACACTTGTTTGTTAGTTTGCCATTTAATTAATAAAAAAACGAAGAAGTTTTAAATGAGGTGAAGCCAATACCAGCAATAAAATACCGTACAATTAATGTTTAAGTACACATTGAAGCTAATGGTAAATGGATAAATTTAAATAGAAATTGCACATAAATAAAGTAATAGTAATACGACATTAGATACATAAAATTACATTTACGAAAATTACATAAATTATAAAACCTTACTTTTATATAAAAGTTGAGTCGGCTTGTCAATAAAAAACCACTAACGCAATTTTTTTTGGTACATTAAAACTTTTTCATTTTAGTTTTCAAATTTTTTTAAGCGAATATAGGAAGATTCCCTTTTTTTTTAAAGAAAAAAATTCCGCTTTTTGAGATATACGACTTCACAAAATTGCTTAAGTCAGTAAAAAAAAAATTCCATCTAATCAAACATAAATGACTAAATATGAGAAGTTAGGTAATAAAAATAATATGCTTATCATCTTATGCTAACATTATCTTTTCTTATTTTGACAAGGATACAGGGAAGAAAAAACAACCATATATCAAACACAAGGAGAGTTGTGAGCTCAGTTCACATAGTTTTATTGCTGAACTCACGATTACAGTCTTTTAAATATCACCTTCCTCAAATAGAAATTTACAGGTGATTTAGTTCGATGACGTGATATCACGCTTGGAATAGTTTCAAAATACTGATTTATTTAAAGGGTTTATTTATTTCACAGATCATATTTTTTATTCATTTCTGACATTTATGTTTTATGAAATTATAACAGTTTTATTGCGATTTATGCGTGCATTTGATACTTAAAGTTTAACAGAATTTTTTGTGAGAAAAGATGAAAAAGTATGAAAACGCCTATCAACCTTAAATCACGAAAATATAAATAAAAGAAGCGAGTGAAACAATTTTGCACAAAAAGATAACCTTTAAAATATTTATATACATATTTAAAGCATTATTATTTACATACTTATTTAGTAAAGAATATTACTTAGCAAACATTATCTAGAATTTGAGATAGTTAGCTCTCTGAAAAATAATTTCAAATAATATTTACATGACGAAAAATAGTTGAGTTATCTTTCGAACAATTTTGTAGCATCCTGCTAGTTTTCAAAAATGTCTGATATTTTAATTTTGATAGCATTTCAACACCTGGTAGTCAATCTTACAAACTTTTAAAAGGTTTTATAATAGAAAAAAATTATTTCCCTTCCCACCTAATTTATGAAAAATGTTATGAGTCTTATCTCTTTTTTAAACCAATAGTTTGTAAAACTGGTGGGGGCGACCTTGGAAGTTAGAGAGCAGGGGACGGTTCCCTCTAATATATATATATAAATGTTAAATAATATTGTTGTTTATAATTATAAATAAAAATAATTTATGACAAAAAAATAATTATTTTAAAAATTATTGTATCATAATCTTATTCCGATAAACTTTTATGCAGTAATAGAAAATTATATTTATCAATAACTTATGATAAAAATTATTCAGAAGGGGATGCATTTAAAGAACAGAAAATATAGTTGAATAATCTAAAATATTTATCAATAGAAATGTCTGCGCTGACGTCACTTCACTTACTTGCCAACTGAAAATTCACCAATGATCAACCAGTTTCTAGTAGCAACCAATAAAAATACGTCTCTTTTGGAATTCGAATAAGAATCTCCCAGTAGGAATAGAGTAAACAACTTGCTGCCATTCACAACCACAAAATTACGGCAACTGATAGAATTGTACTATAGTCAAGTAGTGATATAGTTTAGCCTCTGGCATGGACATCACCATTGTAAATATGCCACAAAATTATTTTTTAAAATTTACTATGATTTACCAATCAATAAACTATGTTAACTAATAGTTATTAAAATAAATCTGT